TTTTTTTTTTCTTTTTTTAGGCTTGACGTACGTAATGTCATCGTTTGTCTCGTTGTTTTCTTTCTTTTTATGCTTTTTTGTATCTGTATATGCATTTAAAAGAACAGAAAATATCGCTTCATGTGTGTGTTTAGATGTTCTAAAATTCTTTTCACAGCTCATCACTTTCGGCGGTTTGTTTTTAATCAAATTTCTCTTTTTTTCTTTTGGTTGTTGTTAGTTCACTGTGAAACTTTTCCATCCATCGACAAGCACGCACACACACACATACACATAAATATACATCTAAATAGATATATATGTACATCCTATTTTGTTCATCGCTGAACAGTTTGAAAAAAATTTAAAATTGGTATTTACGAAGTGAAGGATTTTTTCAATTTTTTGTTTTGCGTCTAAAAAATCTCAGCGAAGAAGGCGAGCACGATTGAGTTGGCCTTAAATGATTCTTGGGCAGGAGCTGTTGGAAAATATAATTTTTTTCTTTTCTCAGAAATTTTTCTTCAATTTTGGACTGAAACCTGACTGAAATTGCATGTTGTTTTTACAGAGGGGCAAAACTGAAATGCGCTATGTGTGAAAAGCTAAATTTTTTAAACCGCTGTAAAGTTGATGAAAATGTTTACTTTGTGCTCTGAATAACTGGAAGTTTTTTGTTATTTTGCTGATACAGTTATAGATTATTGCCATCAGTTATGTTGCGACGTAATAATGGATTTCAAAGTTGTAATTATCTCGAAATAATGGTGCAGTTTTCTAGACGTACAATTTCAGTAGACATTAGTGAGTGGTTGGTACAGAGGTACTGTTGTTGGGTTCCCGGTTTAGAATTGGAGATATTTTTGGTTGGTACGCGAATAATTTTTAACTTCTCTGAACAGATTATTTGCGGTAACGGGAATATACACTTGATGTCATTAAAAAATTATTGGACCTAGCAAATGCTTAGCTTAGGATTGTAGTCGTCTGAACTCATATTTTAGTTTATCGGAAGTTTTCTTCCTGGTAAGGTCTGTAGTGGTCTGGAAGTTTAGGGCTGGTTTAGCTACCAAACGTGAAAGTTTTACATAATCTTCTAAAGCCAGCTGTTGCCTTGTAGTCTCAACTTCTTTGGAGACTGTAGGTGATCAGTTCTGTTTAGAACGTTTGTTTAAGACTCTCTTACAACATTAAGAACGTTGAGTAGTTTTGTTGCAGCTTAGTAGGATAAACATCAGATATTGAAAGTGAACGGTAATTTTTTTTTAATAAGAAATTTGGCTTCAGCAGTGAACTCTGATTTAGTTTGAGTAGTCGAACGTATTACCAAACGATATAAAGTTTAGACATGACCACCTAGTAGGCTACTTGTTTTTTTTGTTGAAAGGACTGTTCACTTAGCCAGTGCGGGCAACTTTTTCAGGTTTCTTGTTGCTGGATTTTTTTTTTCGCTTTTGTTTCTTTTTTTTTTTTCAGCTAAAGTGGGTTGCAGATAAACATTTTCTGTTGCTGTTATTTACTCGTATTTTATTAATATTTTCAAATAGCATTTATATGGCTGAATGTGTTGAAACGCGTACTCGGGATGTTAAGGTTTACTGTAAAACATTGTTATCGGATTACTTGATGTTAATTTCGAAATATCAAAATTTAAATATTAGGCTTTATAAGAAGAAAAATGCCAGTTTTA